TGAAAAGAAATACATTAAAAAATGAATTTGATAATACATCTTTTTAAAAAAATTTTTAGGTTTATTTTGAGACAGAAACAGTGTAAGTGGGGGAGGGGCGGAGAGAGAAACAGAATCCTGTGCAGGCTCCACAGGGTCAGCCCAGAGCCCGATGCGGGGTTCGAACTCATGAAACCGTGAGATCATGACCTGAGCTGCAACCAAAAATCGGATGCTTAGCTGACTGAGCCACTGAGGCACCCCTGTAATACATCTTAAATATGTAACCGAACTAACAAATATCATAAGTAAACAGTTGACTACGTCCACAATGTGTGTGTATATTTATATAAGTTGTGTATGGATATATGGCCAAAGATCCTTCTGGTATCTTCTCATTGTGAAAATTGAGAAGCCATTCTCTTTGGGATTGCCTTTATCTTTAGCAAATATGACAGATACCTCACTTCCTAGCTATCCCAGGCACGGCACTCATAAGGACACTTCCCTTTGACCAGAAATCCATGACTTTTGGCTAAAAAAAATCGTCTACTCATCAATGTCCGGCATCATTTGCTCAGCTGAGTCTTGCCTGAATCCTTGGAATGACTGATTCCTTTTTATTCTAACCTACGCATTCACATATTTTTATCTTTGTTCTCAGCTCCGTAAAATGAGGACAGTGCTATTTCCCTGCCCATCTCCACAGGCGATGGATGAAAGTTATTTCATTGAATCAGTTCTAGTATTTTATATGAGATGTAAATTCTTTCGCAATTGCCATGACAGGTCATATTTCCCCATTTTTCTTTTATTATTGTGCATAGAGTTTTATTTGAAGAGTCAATAAAAAAATTTCTTTTTATGCAGCACAGAAGTACGTTACCACTTCTGTGCACCTGAGAAACTTGGTTTCAAATCATGGATTCTCGTGTGCGTAATGAAGGTCTTCTGGGTTCCGGGTTTATTTGGGTCCGAAAGCGTTACCGCTGCTGATGTCGGTGTGGTTCTTGCTTTCTCTCAGCGGCGAAGAGGCCACCTCAATTCACAGGGCCCTTTTTTTTAAAATAATTTTTTTAATGTTTATTTCTGAGAGAGAGAGAGAGAGAGAGACAGAGCGAGTGAGGGAGGCACAGAGAGAGGGAGACACAGGATTGGAAGCAGGCTCCAGGCTCCGAGCTGTCGGCACGGAGCCCCACACGGGGCTCGAACCCACAAACCCTGAGATCATGACCTGAGCCGAAGTCGGACGCTCAACCGGCTGAGCCCCCCAGGCGCCCCTAAAACGGTCCGCTTTGATCCCTGAACCACGGATGATGAGGACGCTCCGGGCTTTCTTACTCAGGAGGTGGTGGTGGGAACACTGCAGCGGGCGCAAGGGACACCCTGTCTCACGTTAGTCCTTCCTGGTCTGTCTGCGGAGGCTGCCATCAGGTCGTGGGTCATTGCATTTTGCAGACACTTTGTAGGGTTAGGTAGGAGGCTGGGGGGAGAAGGGGCAGCATGGGAGCCGTGGGCCGGGGGTTGGACAGGGACTGGGAAGCAGTTTGGGAGCCACGGGGCAGCCAGTGGACAGCGGCCGACAGCAAGTCAGTTTGGGGACCACAGGGCAGCCGGTGGACAGCGGCCGACAGCCAGCCGGTGACTCAAGGGGACACTTGCTTCCAGTTAGTCTTTTTTTTTTTTTTTTTTTTTTTTTTTAAATTTGGTATAATCTCTGCTTCTGTGAACCGGGCTATTCTCCAGATAAATGAAGTCGAGTCGTATTGGAACGTTTCCGAAATGGAAGTGGGTGGAAGGGAGAATGTCTCCTGGAATATAAGCTCCTGGAGGACAAGGTGCCGGCCCGGTCCCTGGCTCCCTGGCTGAATCCCCGGCACCCAGTACCACAGTGGGTGCTCATGGCTTTGGATGCTTGAGTGCACGTTCGCGGCAAGGACCTCAAGGGTCATGTGGTCCAAGTCGTCCATTTTACAGATGGAGCCCTGAAGAGTAGAGAGGCACACGCCACAGTTCACCGAGGTCACATGGCGGGGGGGGGGGGGGGGCCCTCAAGTTGGAAATTGACACAGAGCTCCAGACGACAAACCCAGAGTTGTTGTTTACTAATACATCGGAATTGTGATTCCACTCTAACGGGGTCGTGGGACTCAGTGCTCAATACCTCTCCCTTCATTCATTTGGAAAATATGATTGCTCTATGCCAGACCAGTGGTGTTCTACCTTCTTGCCCATTAGAATCACCTGGAAAGCCTTAAAAAAAAAAAAAAAAAAAGAATCCCTAGGTCAGATGCTTGATTCGGTTTACCTCTCTCTGTGTATCAGTGGGTTTTTGTTTTTTAAGTATTCAGGCGACTTGATGAGGCAGCAGAGCCAATGGAGCCTGCCAGTGCCCACCCTGCCCCCCACCGTGCCCTTGACTCAGGACGCCCTTGGACAGTCCACGCTGTGCGGGTTTGGCTCCTGGTGGAGGTGGCAGAGACAATGCCACCGTGCTCAGCCCCGTCTGCCCCCAGACATCCTCTGCCTTTGTGCAGACCACTCACTGAGCTTCAGGTGGGGGCAGTTAGCTTCATCCTTCTCCAGACTGTGTCTCTCCCTTGTCCCCAGACACAGCCCTTCCGGAGCCAGGTGCTGCTGGGGACCCAGAGAAGGATAAGATGAAGCCCTGATCTTGAGGGGCTCTTACTACACAAGGGAAGCCACGTCTGGGTATTTGTTAATACCAACAGTACCAAAACCGGTTTTCCTGGACACCTTTGCTATTTGTTTTCTTAAAGTGAATCGCATGGCCATCCACACCTTATCAAAGTTTCAAGAGCCTTTTTCGACCTTCTGGGTCCTCTGTCATAAAGGGACTGAGGTTCAAGGGCAGGTGTGTGTGATTTGAGGGTCAGGGTAGGAGTCAGGGAACTGGGACCGAATGCAGATGAGAGCATTCAAGACCCCATCCAAAGTGGTCACGTACCTGAGGTTACTTCCTGGGATACAAACGAGCAACATCTAACTTCCTTGCGAGTCAGAACCAAGTCTGTTCTCGTATCGGGCCTCTCAAACCCTTGCTGAGCCCAACGAAGGAACCACGGGGAGTGAACCATGAACCACACCCGCTGCCCTCCATGTTGCCTCTGGCCAAGCGCTCTGAGCCTGGACTCCGAGGTGGGAGCCCCACGGAGGGAAGCGTTGCCGGAGAAGCTCCCAGATGAGCTCAGAGAGGGAGCACCCGAAGCTGCCCAAGATGATCCCCACTTCTGGTGGCCAAAGAATGCCCATACGGCAGCCATCTCTCCAAACGCCATTAGGGCTGGCGGACAGGGTGAGTCTTGGCCAGATGCGTGCCCTCTGAGCCTTGTGAGAGGGGACCCAAGCCAGGGAGGAGAGGCTGCATCTAATTATGGTTTTACCCAGCGGGGACATTTTTGCGTTGACACAGTTTTCTGTCGGTGTCCGGAAACATGCGCGAGGGAAGGGCAGCTCCCTCGAGATGACTGTGCACCCAGCGGCTCAGAGGTGGCCTGGGAATGTGGCTGCAGGTGGCCTGGGGGCGTGGCTGCAGCCCAGGGAACGAATGACAGCAGTCCGGGAAGGGCCCGGGCAAGTCTGAGATGGACACTGGGCAGCGGGCCCTCGAAGGCGGACCCCCAGGCAAGGTGAGGGTAGGGGCTGAGAGCCCATCTAGGGAAGGAGCCACTGTCAGGAGTGGGGGGCTGTGGCTGGGTCATGGCTGTGGGCCCTGCAGGCCAGCCTTGGGGCTTAAAGAAAACAGACGCAGCCAACATGGCCGGAACACGTCGTTTCCGCCGAGCACTTTCACCTTCATTTAGTGCTTCCTTCACCCCCGTGAGGCGTGTGCTGGCACCGTCCCTATTGCACAGAGGTGGAAACTGAGGCACAGCAATATTGAATGACTCCTGCCAGGTCACACAGCTGATTAAGTGAGAGAGCCGGTGCCCAGACCCAGGCCAGCAGCCTGCAGGGCCCTGGCCGCTCTTGTGTTCATGGCTGAGGCCTGGCCGTCCCTCGGGAGTCTCCCAGGGGAAGGGACAAGACTAACACGATGAGCGGCGCTTCTGCAGACCGGACAGGGTGGCAGAGGGACCCAGGGAGCCGTGGGCAAGCAGTCCCCCAGCTCCCCCTGAGCAGAGCCCTGGGTCGGGCTCACCCCTGTGGGACTGGCCTCAGCTCTGGCTGGGCCCTGTGATGGCTTACCTCCAAGGGCAGGATGTGGGGGGGCTTGTGGACCTGCTGGGGAAAGAAACGGGGGAGGTTGAGGCTTAGCCCAGCCCCCATCTAGTACGCAACGCCCGGGAGCCCCTCCACAAGGGTGACCTGGGTGGGATGTGAAGGCCCCCATCATCCTTCCCTCAAAGGTGTTCTTTTTTTAAAAAAAAAATCTCTTTAATGTTTATTTTATTTTTGAGAGAGAGCGCGTGCACAAGCGGGGAAGGGGCAGAGAGAGAGCGCGTGAGAGTGAGAGAGTGGGGGAAGGACAGAGAGAGGGGGACAGAGGATCCATAGCAGGCTCTGGGCTGACTGCAGAAAACCTGATGTGGGGCTTGAACCCACGAACTGCGAGATCCTGTCCTGAGCTGAAGTCGGAGGCTTAACCGACTGAGCCACCCAGGCACCCCTCCTCCAAAGATGTTCCAATGGAAAGTGAGTCCAAGAGCTCTCGGGGGACCCAGAGTTCTGTCTTGGGGGCGGGAGGTCCCCCGCTTATCCAGTCTACTGTGTGACAGCAAACAGGTGTCTCCTCCTAGCCTTCCAGTGGGTTCATTTGTGGACAGCATATTCGCTGGTTTCCTTAACATGAGAAGTTGGCTGGTTGTTCCTACGTGGGCTAAGCTCGCTTGTGAGCAGCCTCCCCCTGGAGAACAAGGGAATGATAAGCTAGTATAAATCATGCTGAAAGGAACGAGCCCTCATCGTGAGTCATTAGGACAGATGACACACTGGCGAGCAGATGAAAACCCTTTGATGAAGACCAGTTGTGAAAGCGCGAGTAATGCCAAAGAAATGCGTGGTGGTGACCCAAAAGTTTAATGTATGCATTTCCCCCTTGCTCTGTCTCTCTCCCTTTTTATTTTCAAGACATTGCTGCAGTAAATGTCACGAGTGGTAAAACAACATTTCCTGTGCTCGGACCCTTGGGAGAGAGGTTCAGGGAAGGACGGATCCGGAGGGATGCGTTTCATCAGCGAGTGCTAGATGCCTTTTGGCACGGTACTTAGGTAATGGCATCAGAAACGGGGATCAGTCCTAGGGAGGCGTGTCCTGTCCTGAGAAAATAGCCCCCGGGCAGAATGTCCGCTCTGAGGCCTGAGAACGCATTTCAGCACATGGATGAACTCACCACCTTGACGTGCCCCAAAGAAGGAACCGTGGGGTGACAGATGCCAGCTCTCTCCAGCCCTACGAGCAGCAGGAGGCAGTGGCCCAATGGCTAAGCCATCAGCTCTGGACACAGGCAAGCTGCTCTGTGTCCCTGCTCTGCCACTTTGCAGCCAGGTGGCCTGGGCAAGTCCCCCGACTCCTTCAGCCTGCTTCCTGCTCTAAACAGAGACTCATGATCCCAGCACCCACTCATTGGGTGGGCTTGGCCGCAGGCAGCAGGAACAGACCCTGCTGACCTCGGAAAGGGGATCTACAGGAAGGATGTGGAGTCGATAAGAGAAGAAAGTGTGAAGCACCGGGTCTCAGATGGGATGAGGGCCGCTCAAGTCTTGTTGGAAGGCCCAGCGACGAGCTCGTCAAGGTCTGATAAGGCCAGTCCTTGTGTCCTCTCTCAGGGTCAAATCCTGGAGAGAGTATCCAGTAGGTCCGTTTAGACACGCCCCCACCTCTTGGCTGGAGGAAAACAAGGCACTTACTTTGGCCGTTGGGGGGGGGGGGGGCAGGGCTTCTATTACCAGAAGAAGGAGGCAAGAATGTTATGGGGATTAATGGACATCATGCATGTAAAGTCCTTGGCACTGTGCCCACCACATGGCAAGAGCTGAAAAATCAGATGTTGTGTATTAGCCATTATGCATGGAATGATGGATAGCAGGTCAATAATACAAGCTACTCCAAGTAAGAAGCTAATGATGCACGCACACAAATGAGTACAATTGAAATTGGAAATCGGAATGAGACCGGCGGACTGCATCGATGTCAACAGCCTGGTGGTGATGTTTATCATCCCAGAGGTCTGCAAAAATGTTACCAATTGGGGAAACTGGGCAAGTTGTACAGAGGGACCTCTCCGTCTTACTTTTTGACACCTGCGTGTATTTCTACAAGGATCTCGATAAAAATTGCAGTTAGCAAGAAAACAAACAAAAACACAAAGAAGAAGAAAGCTAACTACTCCCAAATCCTAAGAAGTTTTTTGTCCCCATTGGAGTTTTTTCTTCAATTCCCCATCCACACCCTCTTTCCCCATCAAAAGAACCCCCCCCCCAGAAAAAAAAAGCTGTTTACATGTAAGACTCGACAGGATTAAAAATTATTTTTAAGCATTTGAGAAAAACATAGGATATGACAAAAGTGCAAGGCCAGGGCAGAATATTCCCTTGCTAAAAATCCTCCTTGTTGGACATTTGAGGAGCACACACATACGCACCGCCCTCCCAATAAACATGTGAACAAAACATCAGCCTGGCTTGTCCCCATTGGTTTATCTTAGAGCTGTTTGTCCGCCAGTCTTTTCTCCAAAATGTCAGTTTATTTAAGTAAAGGTGGGCCCCTTCACTTACAGCGAGTGTCAGCTCGTGAGGGTCCTGTTCGGTCTCTTGAGTCCTTGAATTCCTGTTTACACATACTGCGATGATGCTGCAAGAAGGAACCTCCTCCAGGCCCTTTGAAGAGCCCTGTGGTCCGTATGCTTGGCTTCCTGCTTTCTGTGGTCCTCCTGGATGGACTGGAGCCCCTGCCCTGGTGGCGGTGGAATCTGGCCCCGCACCAGATTCTCGCTCATTCGTTCTTTCTCTTTCTGGTTCCTCCAGCTGACATTTATCAGCGATCTACTGGGCAGGAGTCCTTGTGCTAAGCAGAATGGACACCAAGATCCAGGTCCCGACTTGAAGAAATTTACAGCCGGATAGAGGGTCACGATAAGTGCTCCAGTATGACCAGTCAAGGCAGTGGGTCTGTGTGTCCTGGGCATATAACTAAGTGCTGGATGAATTCGGGCGGAAAAAAGCTAATGCAGCCATTTAAGCACCTCGAGCTCCTGCAGCTTTGACTTATGTTGTAGGCAAAGGCTACATACTGGGGTGGGTTTTCCCAAGCACCTCTACGGACTCGTAAGCTCTGTTTCCCCTTGTAGAGTTAAACACGCTGTGCCCCCAACCACCACCACTAGCTGGCACACCCACTTTGTGGTTTAGAGGCAGTAGAGACCTGGGTGTTTGCATTTGGCTCTATTAACCATCAGACGTGGCGAGATTTTAGGAGGAATGGGTTACAGGATTTAGAAATGTCTTCCAGAGCCAACTGGAAAGAGAGGAAGCCAGGAGTCAGGACTCAGGAGACACCGAAGCTGAGTGGTCTCAGGCAGATTACTTAACTGCTCTGTGTCTCAGTTTCCTTAAACCGTAAATGGAGCGGTAGTTAATTGTACTCAGTGGGTGGTTCTGGGAGTGAAATACGTGAACACCTGAGAAGCACTCCTGGCACGACCTAGCTTGTGGAACGTGCTGAATGATGTCCCCAAACACTCACACGTCTTTGCATGCTGGCGAGCCGGTCAGAGGGCAGAGATGTCTGCCAGTTGGCCCCAGAGGGCGGCGACGGGCCGGCGGGTGGAAGGTATGGAGTACAGTTGGGGAAGCCAAGGCAGGCATCCGGGCGGGCCCCATGGTGACGCAGTGGCATGTGTGTGCTAGGTGAGAGTCAGAAGCGCAAGGAAGGACAGAAGTGATCGCTTACTGCGTGCCAGCCTCTGTGTGAGTGCTCTCGCGTGGGGAGCTTGGCTCGTCCCATCCGTGTGAGTCCCAGTGTGTAGGTAAGAACCTAGCACATAGAATAGGCCTTATTTTGAAACGAATGCCTGAATTTTGGGCTTTGATTCTTTCCGTAAGCCGATGACGTGTAGGATCTGTGATTGCCGTCCACATTTTGAAGATGGAGAGATGAAGCCTGAAGGAGCACGGCCCCATTTGTATTTCTGGGAATTTTCCTGAATGGCCAGACAGAAAAGGAGGTGAAGTTATGGCCACCGTGTGCTGACTCTTTTGTCTCTTCGTTGCCACCATGCTGATTTGAGAGGGATTTTTAGAGTCACGCGTTCGTTATTTATGGTTGACGTTTTTATTGGTGCCAATAACTAGATAGCCACAAAGAATTCCTGCTTGGTGACTTATGCTCAAGGTCGGCGTCCAGGCTTGTCTTAAGTAATTCCCTTTCTTCTTTGGCTATGGAACACCATGACTCGGGGCCAGGAAGCTCGTGAGTTTCTCAGGACCGATCCAGACCCTGGGATTGCCCATGTGTCACGGACGGCAGGCTCTCCCCTGAAGATCTCGCAGTATCTGTCAAGGGGATGAGGGCTTCTGAGTTCCTGTTTCTGCTGTCGATATGTGAGTGAAATTCAGATAGCCAACTCTGTTGCTGTGAAATTATTCTCATTGCCGGCTTTGCTGACATCGTACTTGAGTGGAATCAAAGCCATTTTGTCTAGGAGAAAGGGTGAGAAGAGTTAATATTCTACACAAGCGTTTTAGATGGTGATATTTTAGAACCGTCTCCAAAGACGGTAATGCTTAGATAGAGCACACACCAGATTCTCCTTAAGCATCCTTCCGTTCTGACTCCGTATGCAGCATGGTGTGGTTTGAGAGGGACGGTTTGAGGCTAAACACAGAAAGGGCTTCCTTAGGAATCACTTTCAGATCTTTTAAAGGATGATTGGAGTTATTTTCCAAAGAGAAATGATTTTATACACTTTTGAAAGGATTTGCCCTGGAATATTAAGTGCAAAACTTCTTTGCCATAGGAAAGTAAAATCTTAAACATGTACCCGCCTGGATGGCCGGATATTAGCAGAGTTTACGTTGGGGTTGTCCATGGGCATTTTCTTGACGACGTTCTGAACGGTTAAATCTGGGATATCTTATGATACCTTCAAGATAAAGCAAGGAGTTGGGGCACCTGGGTAGCTCAGTCAGTCAAGCCGCTGACTCCTGATTTCGGCTCAGGTCCTGATCTCCCAGTTCGTGGGTTCGCGTTCCACATCAGGCTCTGAGCTGACAGTGCAAAGTCTGCTTGGAATTCTCTCTCTCCCTCTCTCTGTCTGCCCCTCCCCCCCTTCTCTTTCTATCTCTCAAAAAAAACTTAAAGAAAAATATAAAGCGACGAATAAGCAATCACTCTCAACTTTGCACTGATAGATCAACAGCCCGTGGATGTCTTTTCATCCGTCTCCCACTGTCTGAGAAACAGGGGTACCATTTTGTCCCTGGGGCCATTTTATTTGTTTTCTTTTCTTTTACTTTATTTTTTGCCTATCATATTTATCACTTTCTCCTCCAGGACTCCAGGATTTTTGTGTCCTGGTTTATTCTCTTTGCCTTTACCGTCTTTCCTGGGCCCTCCCCCACTTGCTCCTTCCTTTCCCTCTAAATGCGCCCTGACCTCTCCATTGTTAAAGAGTCTATATCCATCCACCCATCTACTCATGCACCTGTCCATCCACCCCGTCGCATTTTTCTCTTTCCTCTCGCAGCCACGCTGTGTATAACTGGGGTCCTGTCGCCCACCCTCTTCTGCTTCCAACGCCCGCCTCCCCGCCCTCTTCTTTCAGAGACCTCCAAGGCAGGGCCACTTTCTTGTCAAATCCAAAGCCTCTTTTCTCAGTCCACATCTTCCTTGCCCTCCGGCACTGTTATCATCCTGACCTTGAGGGACGCCCTTCTCTGGCTTCCATGGTGCCCTTTTCCCTAGTGTCCCAAACTATCTCGCTGTTCATCCCCTTCCTCCTCGAGCCTCTAAGTGTGGGTGGGTGCGAGGGCATGCAGTCCTCGGCCCCAGGGCCTTACTTCTTTAGGCTTTCCCTGAGGCCTACCTCCCACTGCTGCGGGTTCCAAGATGCGTGCCTCTGGCCCTGACCTTTCACCCACTGTCCAGTCCTCCAGGGATGTCCCCCTAACGCCAGCCTCTCCAAATGTGAGTTCCTGGTTCCCCCTTGCCCTCCGCGGCTTCCATTCCCAACAGCATGCCGTCTCGGGGTGACAGGACCCCATTCTCCTTTCGCTGTCCACATCCGGTCTGCGTCCTTGTTTCTTCCTTCAGAGACTCTCTTGGGCGTGTCCCTGCCCGGCTCCAATTTCGCATCTGTGCACATGTAGGGCGTTCCAAGTCTCCTAGATGAGCTTCTAGAAACTTCCCGCCACCAGTTCACCTTATAAAGATGCCAGACTCGGGTACCGGACTTGTCGCGTCCCTCGCCGTGTCTGCCGGAGCAGCCTGGAGCATGTCCCTGTTGTTCACTCACCTTCTGAGCGGCGGAAGTCCTGGGGCCTCAGGGTAGCTCATAAGTCCCTATGTCATGACGGCAGCTTCCTGTCTGTATCTGTTGCTGCTTACCGCCCTCCTCCTCCACGCAGCCCCCTCCCAGATCACGCACCCTCGGTTTCACCGACATGTAGTTATCCCTCATTTCAGACACCCCTGGACACTGACCTCCCCACGTCCCTGCTCGTACAGCGAATTCGCAGCCACTCGTGTTCTAACGTACAACCCCAGCGTCATCTTCTCCAAGCTTTTCCTGTTCACAATCTACTGCTCCCCAACCCCTGCCCCGCCTCAGCGAGTTTTCCTCTTTATTCCCTTACAACTCTGTCATCACGTGTGCGTTCCATTAAATCCATTCATCGGTCTGCTTATACTTATGGAGTGGGAGCTATTTGGGATCTGACATATGGCATCTTCTCTCTGAATCCCCAGCACGAGACCTAGAAGTTAATAGATGCCGATAAATACCGACTGAATGAAACGTTAAGTGACACTTTCCTGCTGAGAAAACGGGGTTGGGTCCCTGTGACTTGGCTCATCCAAGGGCAGGCATTGCACCATACTTACCCTGATTTTCCAACACACAGTCGGCTCAAGCTCTCCAGAAAACCCTGGAGGCGTGTGCCCTCCCTTTTCTCTGCCTCCAGAGCTTGTCCGTCTCCCTCGCCGTCCGTTGCCCTCCTCTCCTCCATGCGGTCTACAGTTACCGTTCACATACAGCCGGGACCCTGCACGGTCAAGTACTTGAACGTGTTCTCCAGCTGTCTTTCGCTAAATTTGTCTTCTCTCCCAGAACCGTGTGTGAGCGGAATGAAGACAGAGGCCACACTAGACGGTTTTTTGAACACCACCGAATCTGGATTCATGGCGTGCACATAGCTGTACATCAAATACTTGATGAGTTGTTTAGATATCTCATAGTTCATTTCCAAGTATTCAAGACCATCAGCGTCACAGTTTAAAGGCTGAACCCTGATGCTCTAATCGGAGTTGCCAAAACATGAGTAGGAGTCTGGAAATGACTAGAATTTCAGCAATAGAGAAACTTCCTGCCCCCAGTCTGATTCAGTTGGTAGTGTTCCCTTCACTAGACTTTAATAGAGCCACAAATCTCTTCTAAACCAGTTTGCCCTAGAATTGAAAAGAGCCCACATGTAGGGGACCATCACTGACGCTGAGCCTTGAATTATGCAATGTCACGTCTGCAGTGTCCTGGGCCCGTCAGAAGCCCTCTGAGCTCTGCAGAGTAGCAAGAGTCTGATGCCAGGACAAAAGATGTTGGGTTCTGCTTTCATTTCACTACTTCTCAGAAATGTCTAGATGTTTGTCTAAGAAGCAGAGTGTTTTTAAAATTAGTATTCTTCGGGGCGCCTGGTGGCGCAGTCAGTTAAGCGTCCGACTTCAGCCAGGTCACCATCTCGCGGTCCATGCGTTCGAGCCCCGCGTCGGGCTCGGGGCTGATGGCTCGGAGCCTGGAGCCTGTTTCCGATTCTGTGTCTCCCTCTCTCTCTGCCCCTCCCCCGTTCATGCTCTGTCTCTCTCTGTCCCCAAAAAAATAAACGTTGAAAAAAAAATTAAAAAAAAATAATAAAATTAGTATTCTTCTATTCATAAAGCCGGTATCTGTAAAAGTATCACTTTTATCCCCCCTAAAAAGAAGTCGTTAAAAACATATTCACCCTGAAAGTAAAAAACCAACCAACCAACAACAACAACAACAACAAAAACCCATCCTTTAAATGTTTCAGCTGGGCCTAGATGACCTCCCCAAACGCACAGACACAGAAAGTTGCTCCCCACTGGTTTATACCGAGGGTGATATTAGTCCCTGCCTCGGAAGGAGCCAAGAGAAGCACATAAGATGAGCACAAAAAGAGCTTTGCTCAATGTGGGGCACACAGTAAGAAATCCATAAAGGTTCAGCTGGGTTATAATCACACACTCGGGATTGCAGTTCGAAACTGTCACCAGTTGTCCTTCTACGTCGCTTGAACATCTAAGAGCTGGGCCCAAGTCTGCTGACAAGGACTTGGTGGCTGTTGGTGGCAGCTCCTTGGAGCAGGGACCTCAGGCCCGGGCTCCTCTGCGACAGAGGGTGGCCAGGATGCTGCCTGCTCAGCAGCTGCGGGCTGAGTGACGCGGTCACGCTGGCCTCCTCCTGCGACATTCTGCAGTGTGGAGACGGGACGAATGTCAACCGGGAGAAAAAAAAGGATGACGTCATGACCTGCTCCACATGGGAGGATGGGTGGCCTGGGTCCCACCCCTTTTGCTGGGGGGTTGGGGGTGGGGGTGGTCAGCCTCCATGTGGAGAGCAGAGGAAGGGGCCCTTCCGTGAGGTCGTACTAGTCCACGACACTTTGTGACCGATGTCAAAGTGAGGCTCCTTCTCCGCGTGTCTAAGGCCAGAGCTGGGACGATCTGCATCTACTTGTTTCTTCCCAAACGTAGGCGTCCTGAGGCACCTGGGACCCCAGCCATGGTTTTCTTCGTTGTGTGCGTGGAAAACCGCGAGCGGGAATTTTTGCACTGATTCCCACTCAAGTGAAGCAGGGCCAATCCCCCCTAAACGGGTTTGCTCGGCATGTTATCAGAGGGTTTGTGGGGACCCGCTGTGGGCTGGTGGGGGAGGAGC